AGCTGTTCCAAGTCCCACAAAACAATATGAACCGCTTTACAGAATTTATGGCTGAAAACGAGTTCTAACTGGGTAAAAAACAACATTATATTGACTCAGAGGAGATTAAGATCTTATTTCTACGCTGTCAAATAGTTTTTTCAGGTACTTAAGCATCCTGTATAAAAATGTTCTGCCCCTATGTGCCGCAATGAATGCTAACGAAAGGTATCATGATGGTATTTTCTGTTCAGCTGCTGTTAAATTGCACATTGTTCCACCTAATTTACAGGTGTCATGTACACTGAAGCAGCTATAATATGGCCCTCCTTAGTTACTGCTGCTACACCTCAAATCATTTATATAGCACGTTTAAAACAACTAGAGTTGACCTAAGTGCTGTACAAAGTGCACGGCTCAACAGTAGCAAATAAAGGACATTGAAAAGTAGTAAAAAGCACCAAAAAATAACAATAAAAGAAACTATATATAAATATAAGACCATATCAAATGTGTGCAGAAATGTAAAACAGAGACAGAACAAGACTTGCAGTATAAAATAAAAGATTTTAAAATACTAAAACCCACTTAGAGCAAACAAAAGCCACTGAAAACATTTATCTGGGGCAGCGTTTGAGTGAAAGTGAAAGACTATTCAAAAACTTCAGAGCTGCCACAACAAAGGTGCAATCTCCCTCAACAACCAACCTCGATCATGGAACAGTTAAAAACAACTGGAGTTGTTCTGCGCATGTATGGTTTAAGAAACAAATCAAATAACCTTAAAATCCAATCCTGTATTTGACAGGTAGCCAATGCAGGTAAGCAAGTAATGCTGCACCTGTCTTTCCCATAGGACGCACATGTTTTCAGAATGATGACGATGCCAGATGCACGACTAAAAAATATTTAGGGATTTTTGAAACAATGAGCCGGATGTCAGAGGTAGATAAAAGCTGCTTTCCAGCCAGAGAGGATCGATTTCTCCTCTGATATGACAGATGTAGCTAACTAATAAGCAAACTTTTCGGTCCCTCAGTCAATTCTAAATTCTTGACGCTGACTGTACGTATTTACACAGATGTTACAGTATGTCAAAAGTCAGCATCCGTACCAGCCAATAGTCCATGTAGAAGACATATTGAATAGGGATGCACCAGTATCTTGTATCGCGTCCGATACTGTACTCAGATACCTGTACTTGATGGTTGAGCAGGTAGGTTGAGGAGAAGCAGTGTCAGAAGTTTGGAGATATTTTGAGCAACGTTAGCAACATTTAATTTGTAACAGTCAGAAAATGAGGAGCATCTGATGAAGTAAAACATGTTTTCTAAGTCATTGTTAGAACTGTAAAAGTATTATTAAGTACTCATATTGTTATCGGCAAATAGCCAAATGTAAGTATTTGTATTTGGTCTGAGAAAAAGTGGTATCAGTGCATCCCTAATAATAAATTAACAGCATTGCTCTTGTAGTGCAGTGTAGAGCTAGTTAGTGGTAGTATTTATAAATATATATATATATATATATATATATAAGTATGACTAGGAAAGATCCGACTGTTCTTTTACGTTCTAACATAATTCCTTTTTAGCTGCTCTACTTATCCATCCTATAGTTAATTCACTCAAAACTGCGCTAGAGGAAATGTTAGTGGATCACGAAGTCAGTAGCTGTCATCAGTCAGGGGCCATGAATGTCTGCATGAAATCTTATTTCTGAAGTGATCAACTGACCGTCATTGTCCTCCCATTCTTCACTGCTAAATTGGAGATACTGTAATATATTGAGATACTGTTTGAAGAAGGAAGTGCTGTTTCAGTTTTCTCACTAACGTATTAAATTGTTGCCTAGAGCATCCTGAATAGATGTTTTGAATTAGAGATGATGGACACAACAATTACCAAGAAGACGGCTATGAAAACAGGCATTTAACAGTTGATCCATTTATCAGACACAAGTCTGCGGTTTACATTAAAGCGCTATAAATCCACCCGTTATTTGTTCAGCCATTGCTAATGTTGTCTTATTTCAGAGTTTTCCTCAAAATCTCTGATCAGATCAGTGTCTGTGGCTCATCAATCAGAGAGCAAACACCCAGACACTCCTCTCCTCCTCGTGGAGATGCAGCCCACATGCCAGTCAGCCAGAGGAATCCTCCGGCTTGTGGTTGAGACGAGGGGGAAGAGGAGCAGACTTGGCGGATCAAGGGTTTTCAGGCTTGGAGCAGTAGCTGCATTCCTCCATGTCTCTCTGTCTTCCTCTGCTGATGTCTCACTCTGTCCTCTCTCTCTCTCTCTCTCTCTTTCCCCCCATCCATCTCCATTTCCTGTTCCTCAAGCCCCAATGGGGTTGTCAGACAGGATCGTTGATGTTTCCCTGATGTCCTGTCCTCAAATGCCGAACTGCGTGGCCCGACCGAGCTGTCTGTCTGCTCTGTTCCCTATTACTCATTTCTCTGCTCCACACAGGTGCTAATAGTAATAATTTCATCGGCCCTGTTTTGTTTTTGAGTAATGTATTGCCTCTTCAGTCTCTGCATCAGTCATCAGTGGCTGTTCTTTTGTTTGGATAAAAAGAACATTTCCCTTTGCTGTGACTTGCCAGAGGCTGTTTTCTTTTTTTGGACGTCATCCTTGTAATATTTTGGATTTCTTTGACCTGAGACAAGATGAAAATGAAAGTCTTTTGGTTGCCTTTTTTTGTCTGTTAATACTAGCTGAAAGAAATGCAGTAGGGAGAGTTTACCTGACATATATATATATATATATGAGAGAGACAGAGAGAGAGAGAGAAAGAACAGGAAAGCATTTAGAAGATGTAGCCTACTGAGAGATGAAAGAGGAGAATAATGTCATTGCCCTCCTCCTCCTCCCTCTTGTTCAGTAGTGTGTTTCTACAGTAATGAAGGTGCAGCCTGGAAGACAGATAAAAATCTCTGGTAATTACCTCTGAGTCATACTCTGATCTTATCTGAAAGTTGGCCCTCTAGTTATTTCTGTTGGCATGGTGAAACCTGGAGAGAGGCATACATACTGTACATGCAGACAGATGGAGATCGAGACAAACACATCCTCAGCTCTGAGAGAAGTAGCTGACACTGACAGATACCCACAACAGCGGGCAAACGGAAAGGAATCCTCTTATTGACATATAAACATTTGTATAAGGATACAACAAAATGACAGTAAACCTGCTACTGGCTTTTTTTACTTGGTAATATATAGTTATTGGACAGATTCAGGCCTGTCACGCTTTGGATTTCACCTCCTGTTGAAGCGGTGTGAGCTGCAGTAACAGCGATACTCTGCATTTTGAGTTTGTGTCTTTCTTGATCTCCTTTTCAAAACCTAAAACAAGCCAAAAGTATAAGGAATTGATTAAGTGCTGCACGAACGTAAACTGCAGCTGTTAGCACGCCGAGCTAACGGTACTTCCAAAGCCGAGGAGCACATCATTACCTAACTAGTGGAAGTGACTGCTTTAAGATTAGAGAAGCAAGTTTCTGTCAGTAAGGTTGTCGCTTCGATCCCCAGACCGGAGGGGAAACGGAGTAACCACCACTGAGGTGCCCATGAGCAAGGCCCTTAACC